GGCTGAGATTATTGTCTTTGCACCATGACACCAGACCGGCCACCTCTCTCCTGTAGGCTGCTTCGTCCCCGCCAGTGATGCAACCAATCACTGCGGTGTCGTCTGCGAACTTTAGGATGATGTTGTCTTTGTGGGAGGTGACACAGTCGTGTGTGAACAGGGTGTAGAGGATGGGACTGAGGACGTATCCTTGTGGGGTGTCACTGTTTGTAGTGATGCTGGCTGAAGTCCTATTGCCAATCCTGACAGTCTGGGGCTTGCCAGTCAGAAAGTCCAGGAGCCAGTCACAGATTCACGTATGCACTGTTAGAAGGCAAAGTCAGTGAATGATGTAATTGCTTGAGGCGGCAACAGATTGTATCTGACTGAAGCCTGCACCTCATGCAGCTCCAGCAGTGCCTGAGTAGCAAAGTGCTGTTTTGTGTGTGAAGTTCCAAAAGTGTGAGGGTATAATGGTGCCATGTGAGTCAGTTTCAGTTATTTTTATTATGTGTCCACTTAGCTACTTAATAAGATTTGAATGTGAGAATAAAAGTATGACAGTAGTAGGTTGTTGCTACTAATATCACTCTAACTTGATTTGTCAGATGTAGTGATATTACAGTTGGTTCTACTTAGGAATACAGCTTTACATAAAACGAGTCAGTTAATTTTGTCCCCCATAAATTACCTTGAAACAACTGTGGGAGGGATTTCTTCACAGCCAGAGTGAACAGGAGGAATGATTTTGGAGAATGCACATAGGATCAGGATGTCCCAATAATTCCCTAAAAAGCCTCCAGTTAATCCAAAATGCTGCAGCAGAGTACTGACAGGAACTAGCAAGAGAGATCATATGTCTCCCATGTTAGCCTCTCTCCACCTTATCCCTGTAAAATCCAGAATAGATTTTAAAATCTTTCTCCTAAAACACAAAGCCCTTTCTTTCTTTTCTCCCTCCTCTATCCACTCACCCCAACTGGCCAAGGCAGAAGGCCATCCACCAAAAGCCAGGGTCTGTAGGAGGTTTCTTCTGTTAAAGTGAATTTTCCTTCCCGCTGTCGCCAAGTGCTGCTTAAGGGGCAGTTGTTAGGTTTTCCTCTATAAAAATAATAATAACAGTAAGGTCTAAACCATACTTTGTAAAATGTCCTGAGATGACTTTTGTTATGATTTGGGACTATACAAATAAATTTGAATTTAATTTTTTTGAATTGAATATCTAGGTATATGAATACTGGTTTAAGACAATCTTAATCAAAAATCAAACTCTTTAAACATTTCTGTTAATATATAGCAGGTGAGAGCTTCGTCAGGTACTGCAGGCATCATCTTGATGAATGATGCTGCTGATGATAAGTTCTTAAATGCTGTGAAAAGCCAGTTTAGTTGTATGTTTTTATTTTGCAGGCTCAATAATGCATTTACTGTAACTAATTAACATGTACATGTATTCCGTTGTTTTCTTGTACACCACACATGCAGATATTGGCTTATGTTCTTTCAATGAAGCTGACAAGATACATTTATTGGACAGAGTGAATGTATGATAGCTTGTAATTCATTCTGTGACCTGGTCACTGTGAACTGAACTGCCTAGAGTAAAGTTTAAATCTGAATTCTTCCTCCTGGTGTTGTTAGTGACACTCAGGTATGAGTGTGACCCTACAATATTGTCCATACAGTCCTTCACCCCCTCCACACACACAGAAGAAAAGGTTTTATTTTTATAATGGCATAGCCTGTACTTTGAAACAACAACAGTAAATATAACAACACTTAATAATTAGTAGTAGTAGTAGTAGTATTCCTCTGAATGACAGTCAAACAATATCACACCATGTTCTGTGTATATGTTAACTGACTTGACACAAGTGGCAAAAGTGCCCAAAAAAGTGCTTTAGGTGCCCAATTGTGCTCACTGCCATCAGACTGTACAGCAGGACCTGTGACAACAGCAAAAGCCATCTGTATTTTGTATTTGCTATTAAACATATAACTATATTTATATCTACAACCCCAAATCAGAAAATGTTGGGATGGTATCCATCCATCCATTATCTATACCGCTTATTCCTGAACAGGGCCACAGGGAGGGGCTGGAGCCAATCCCAGCTGACAATGGGAAAGAGGGAGTGTACTGAACATTTAAAGAAAACACTATTAAAACTATTAACATTTAATGTCCTGAGGCATAGCAAATTTGGTACTTCGTTCAAGAGCCTCTCACAGTCACATCCAGCTACTGGTGCTATAAAAAACTATTTGAGTAACTTGAGCAAAAGAATAACAAAGCAAACATCTAAAACTGCTATGTATTGTATTCATGTATTCATGTATCAGGTGTCCTTCTCTTTTTTGATAGAGTCGTCGTGTTTGTCATCATTGCAGAGCTCAGTCTTTCCCTGAGCAGGCAGAGGTGAAAATGAGAAGCCTTCATACTGGCTACTTGTACCCATACAAGATGAGTTGTAAGGGTAATGCTGCACATTGGCCACATGCTTTGGACCTAGAAACTGTTTCTTAGCATGTCTCCTTTTGCTACAGAGCAGGTAGATTATCTCAATGATGTTGAGGAGCACTGAAATGCCTGAAACTACAAGCATAAAAATGATGAAGATGGTCTTCTCTGTGGGCCGAGAAATGTAACACTGGGCACCAGTTAAATGGGCACAAGGTGGAAATTTACAGTGGAAGTAGGAGACCATGAACACAGAACCAAAAATGTAAAACTGGCCCACGGTGAATCCCACCTCCAGTAAGATCTTAAAGACCAACTGGCTCATGTAAGTACCAAAGAGGATGCCTTTTATCTTCACCTTCCCTCTTTCATCTGTATACTTGGGTTTCTTCACTAGAGTTGCATCAGGGTTGTCCTGCAACTGTTCCATCATCCTCTTCTCTTTGTGGATGATGTGGATAGCATGACCCAGATAGACCAGGGTTGGAGTTGACACAAGGGTGATCTGCAGGACCCAATAATGAACGTAGGATATTGGGAACATCGAGTTGTAGCAGGCATGTTCACATCCTGGTTCCAAGGAGTCACAGTAGAACTCTGACACTTCGTCTCCCCAGACTTTGTCTGCAGCCGCGCCCAGGACAAAGATCCTGAACAGGAAGAGGACACTCATCCAGATCTTCCCCACCACAGTGGAATGAGCCTGGACCTTGTCTAGCAGAGCGGACAGGTAAGACCAGTCACCCATGGCTGGAATTTAATGTCTGAAGTGTAGAGGAAACACACAGATATTATACTTATAGTGGGTTGAAAAATAAATGAAATGAATACAAAGATAGAGCACTATTCTATTTTATCTTTTATTTATCAAAGTGTATTTTAGAATCCATTTTAAGATTTTTTTATTTGTTTATAAGTCTTTAAATGGTCTGGCCCCCTCTTATCTTACAGAGTTGTTGCGTCCCTATAGTCCTTCTCGGTGCCTCAGATCAGCTGATCAGCTGCTTCTTGAGATACCGAGGGCTAGGCTGAGACTTAGGGGGGACAGGGCTTTTGCTGTGGGAGCTCCAAAGTTGTGGAATTCATTGCCCCTATACATTAGGCAGGCCCTCTCGTTGTCCATTTTTTAAGTGTATTTGAAAACTCAGTCCTTTTGGCATTTGATCCAGTATGAGGCTTTGTTTTGCTGAGGATTTTTGTTTTATGATGGGTGGTTGTTTAATTGTAATTTTGTTTTATTATTGTGTTTTGTGTTAAGCACTTTGGTCAGCTGTTGCTGTGTTAAATGTGCTATATAAATAAAGTTGATGATGATGATGATGATGAAAGTGTCTATAATTCCACCAAAGAGAAAGCTATACTAAAGCCAGACAGAGTTAAACATCAAGTATTTGCATAAAAACAAACAAACAAAAACTATATTCTATAAGAAAGAGAGTCAGAAAACAATGCACCAGCTAAGACTTTCTAACATTCAGAAAACTGAATTTATGCTGTAACCCTCCCTTACCTGCCTGTATGGAGCTGTAGTTATAAAACGTCCAAGAGCACAGAGAATGATGAGTAAATAAAGTTCCTTGCTGAAAATGAGGAAGAAGATTTATTTAGAGAACCACCTGTCAGAAGGCTCAGTAGATTTATAACAGCCTGAGACCTACTACAGGATTCACTGATAGGTCTAAACATAATTTTACATGAAGGGCTCATGTCATTATGGGGACTGATAATTATCAACTGATGTAGTCACACTTACAATGAAGTGCAAGAGCAAGCTTTAAGAGCTGTTCACATGACTGATCACATACATGATCATGGAAAGACAGCTGCACTAAAGGGTCATTCATTTACTAAACGAACCCTTACATTTGTCATTGAGATACTATCTGTAAATGCCTTCTTGATCTTGTTGTTTTTAAGTTCAAGTTTTAAGACATAAAAAGGAAACCAACAGGCGTATGGAAGAAAAGATAAAACAGGTATTATGTAGAATCTAGTACCACATTTACAACTACAGACCGCAGCTCAATTAAAGATAAGTGTCAATAAAATTCAAGTACAAAAAATTGTGGCATTTCATTCTTAATTTTGTAAGTAGGAGTAATAGTGCAGGATTGTTACTTTTAAATATGCTGAAATCCAAAATTTCACTTTTAGTAGTGATAAATACAGGCCCAGGTTTCTTAAAGCCTTGGCTTTAAAAACTACAATATACTTTACAAAAATAACAGGCGCAGGTTTACTATCCAACACAACTAAAAATGCTGAAGTGTAAACATGAATTTGTCTTAAAGAGACACTGAAATACCTCCTGTGACACAATAACAAGTTAATGAGCAAGTGTTTCACATTTAAGGTTGAAGAAACAAAAAAATGTACTCGCCTGTCAGGCTTCAGATATTAGAAATTCTTTGTCATGAGTCCATTAAAGGAGAGCTAGACTGCAGAGAACAAAAGACTGGATACACTGACCAAGATGAGACTTAAATATTGTTGAGGTCTCTGGGTTTGGTCTGACTATGCTTCAGTCTGACGCTCACAGCTTCTCCTTTCACTCAGTCAGGCTCCTGATAATTTTGATGAGTCTGACAAAAACATCACCTTCAGTTCCTCTAAAGACGTTCTAATGACCCTAAACACCACATTTTTCTATCATTAACTCATGCTGTGAATCATATTGTGCCTTAACTCCCACTCTGATGAACAGATCCAGTAAGGCACACACCTAAAGCCTAGACAGTGTACATTTCAGACACACCCTGTTTTTGTAAAAGGTTAATGTGCAGAAATGTTGATTAGTCTAAAAGGAAGACAAGAAATTGCAATATGTTGCCCAGTATTACTGAGACGAAAGTAGGGTGTGGGCTGAATTTACAGCACGTAACACTTTGTCATGGTGAGTAGTGTCTAACTGATGTTAGTTACAAGGTCAGCAAACATACTTGAAAAAAAATATATAACAGATTTTTTGTTTTGCAATCACTGACTAGAAATCGGTTGTTACTTCATAACTGAAGCTGATAATTCTACTCAAAATGTTTACATTGAATTCCAAATACACACAGCAAACTGGTAATTGTCTACATCATTTGTTTTTGAAGCAGGTCTGTCTTGAAATAATGCCCTTTAATGCTTTAATCAAAGGGATTGTCCACAACTGTGTGATTATGAAAATTAAAATAACCAGATCAACAAAAGTCCTCATTCTAAATGAAAAACAGGTCACTGCTCATAATAAAAGAATTACATTATAAAATGACCTTTTTGAAATTTGGTGAAATTTGTTGCTTTTAACCACGACTTAGGCCCCCTGGCTCATCATCTGATGACTGTAAAAACCTTAAGATCTGACAAACAGATCAACTCAATCATAAAATCTAGTTTTTTTCACTTGAGTTTGTTCAGTAAAGTCGTCATTTCTTTCTTTTAATGATTTTGAGATTGCAATTCATGCTTTTATAATCTCTAGACTTGACTATTGTAATACATTATACCTTGGTGTTAATCAGTCGTCTCTCACTTATCTTCAAATGGTCCAAAATGCTGCGGCTCGTCTTTTAACAGGTACTAGGAAATTTGACCATATAACCCCGGTACTGGCCTCTCTTCACTGGCTTCCAGTCCGTTTTAGAATTCATTTTAAGCTATTGATTTTTGTTTTTAAGGCTCTTAATGGTTTGGCACCACCCTACCTCGCTGAGTTAGTGAGGTGGCACGAACCGACTAGATTACTTAGATCCTCAAGCCAGTTTCTTTTAGAGGTGCCCAGGGCCAGATACAAACGCTGGGGTGACCGTGCATTTATTGTTGCAGATCCTAAATTGTGGAATGGTTTACCTTTTAATGTTAGAACATCTACAGACTTGACAACTTTTAAATCATTGGTTAAAACATATTTATTCACTTTGGCTTTTAATACATAGTATTGTCTGATGCTTCTTTCTTTTAACTGTTGATTTTGTGTAATCCGTGTGGTTATGTTCTTATGTTGTTTTATTGCTCTATTGATATTATTTATTTCAGGTCTTACCTTGCCCTTGTAAAGTACTTTGGTCAACCAGATGTTGTTTTACATTTTGATTTGATTTGATTTAAATGAGCAAAAACCAGCTGACAATTACAAGCAATAAGCCTGGAGATTTCAAGGCACTTAGGTTTCTGTCTTTTTGCCCCTTTACCTGATTTCTGAATACAGCCTTGGCTAAAGTCTTCCAAAGCAGTTAAAAAATAAACAGGTTGCTCAACTGTACGTGTCCAGACATTTTTATAGGAGTGAGGCTTAGTCATTTACATTGGAACAGCTGATGTGATGTTAGTTACTGTCAACAGTGGGTAACTAACTTGCCACTGCTCAACATCTGTCCATTGCAACATAACTTAGTGACAGACAGTCACATTGTTGTTAGGGAGTGTGGGCAGGTCAGTAAGACCTAAGAAGACTTGATGATTCTGCAATCATCAGCATTAATTATAAGAGGGAACTGAGAGAATCTCAAACACAGTACAAGTGGTCGTTACTGAGGTAGGAACAACTATTATTTATGTGTGAAGAGTTAACATTGTAGCTATAAATGCAGTATTGATTATTAATCCATTAAAATATGAAAACTATTGAATTATTTGCCTATATTTCAAAGCCTTTGGGGATGAATGAATTAACAATTTAAGATAGCAAAATGTTAATAACACACTTGAGGAATGTGCTTTTAACTAGAGGTGTTAAATGACCTGAGATTATCTGAATGTGATTTAAGATACAATCTGAAATATATCCAGTAACATTGGCATTGTTGTCAGTCATTCAAAATGCAAAATATTTTGTGGGATAAAAATCTTTACATTGTGCAATCTTTCTGTCCTTCTATTACAATGGCGATGTATTTAAATGTTTTTAGGCAGTCTTAAAATGTGCATTTGATTGTCTTTCACTTGTGGTCTGTTGTAACCTACCTGACTTATCCTGAATTGTTTCAATTTATTTATCTAGCTGGCTCCCAGAAAAGTTCTGTGATGGCTAAACCTCATTCAGAAGTAGGCTACTGTCGCTTGGATTTGTGAGATTTAAAAAAGTGGAGGCTCAAGCTGTTCAGTCTCTGTATTGATTTCTATTGTTCAGGCAGTATCAATCATATGACATGGTTTTAATATGGACCTCGGAGTCTCACTGCTTCGTAACTGTTGCTGCAATGGGTCCTCATATGGAGTCAATAAAACTGTATCGCCAACTGTCCCTGTTTTGAAAAATGCTATATAAATAAAGTTTATCATTATTAAGTTAATACTATTATTATATAATCTGTCAGTTTTGTGACTAAAGCATAGGCTTTGAATTTTTCATTTTTGATGTGAACATATGTACATGGGCCACCTGTCCAGGGTGTACCCCACCTCTCGCCCAGTGTCAGATGGGGTAGGCTCCAGCCCCCCGCGACCCTGTTCAGGAATAAGTGGTAGATAATGGATGGATGGACATACAGTATGTACATGAGAATAAGCCTTATGGCGTTTTCTGATTTGTTGTGCTGAGAGGCATCATGTGAGGTGGTGATGTACCGACCTGCATCTGAGCTGTTGCAGTTGTGGTTCCACTGCACTGTAAAATTTTAAAGGGGCAACAGTGGTGCAGTGAGTAGAGCAGCCATCTCCCAAACAGAAGGTTGAAAGTTTGAATCTCAGTGCCTGCAGTCCACATATCGAGGTGTCTTTGGACAAGACACTGAACCCCCAAAGTTGCCCGTGATGGCAGCGCGTGTGCAAGATGTTACAATAAAATAAAGCCTCTTCTTCTAAAATGTATTGTTTATCTTGTGCACCTTGATCATATGGGAGTGGCGTGAGCCACTATAACTCATGGTATCAGTGTGAGCCCTTGGTGCTAGGCAAAATTATTAAAATAAAATTATTTCACCTTAAGATTTTTATGGGTGAAAACATTTTTTAATTTTGCCACTGCCCTTCAAGCCTAAAATTGATTTTTAAAACAGGTTACATAAACCTGTCTGCTCATACATAAGAGAGGATTGGTTGCTATATTGGTGCTATATAATTTTTCTTCATAACTTCTCAGCGCTCACTTCGAATTGTCCTGCGTGTAAAATCTGCTATTATAAGGTTGCTTCACCTTGACTGGACTAGCAGCGTATATTAACCAATGCTTTCTTTCTCGATTTCTCTCTCACAGGCTTTTATCATGGGGGAGTGGTCTTTCCTGTCTGCTTTGTTGGACAAGGTGCAGTCCCACTCTACTGTTGTGGGGAAGGTCTGGATGAGTGTTCTTTTCCTCTTCAGGATTTTCCTCTTGGCTGCTGGCATAGATCGCATATGGGGAGATGAACAAGGAAATATGAACTGTAACACCAAAAGCCCTGGCTGCAAGAACACCTGCTACGATAAATCTTTTCCTATATCTCACCCACGCTTCTGGGTCCTCCAGATCCTCATTGTCTCCACACCAACACTTATCTATCTGGGTCATGTCCTGCTGGTGATTCGCAGAGAAAACAAGCTGAGGAGACGCCTCGAGCAGAAAATTGGCAAGAATGGGGTCGTTAAACTTCCAAAGTATTCAAATGAGGCTGGCAAAGTGCAGCTCAAGGGTGTCCTGCTGGTCAGCTACATTCTGCAGCTGCTGTTCAAAATCGTGCTTGAAGTGGCATTCATTGTAGGCCAGTACTACATCTATGGCTTCATACTTATGCCTTATAAGATTTCTTTTTCCCAGTACCCGTGTAAGCAAACAGTTGACTGCTTCATAAGTCGTCCCACAGAGAAACGCATCTTTATTATCTTTATGTTGGCAATGGCTGTCCTCTCTGTGATCCTCAACATCATAGAGATATTCCACCTGATCATCTCAATGAAGGAGAGGAAAAGAAGGGGTAGTGGCTCAACCCCCCAAGAGATGTACAGTCTCAACAAACCAAACCACAGTGAAAAAGTTACACTTTGCTGAAGGACTGTGAATGTTGAGCTTTCAGATAACGCAGTCTGCAAAGGACTTACTTCTAGCTCTGTTCAAGGCTGTTACACATAAATAGTGAGATGCCATATTCTGTTTTAAACTGTATCTTGTGTACTGATAGCAAAACATATGTTTAACTATTTACTTCCAGCTTTAAATAACTATCTGTGGAATGGAAGGATAAATTTTATTTAACACTTTCTATCAAACTGCACGAGTGGTCAATGTAAACATGATCTGATCCAAGAACTATTGAATTTAGAGTTTAGCTTGTGAAACCAAAATTTGGGTTTACGGTTAAAACAGGGGAATCGTTAAAAGAGCTTTCCACATATGATCAACCAAAGGATAGAGTTTCTAGGAAGGAAAGCCACATTCTTCACATGATGTAGCTGAAGCACTGGTTCAGGGTCAGTCTGATTCAGGTTTATTTTAAGAGTTCCTCTATATACATGAGTGACTGTGACCAATTCAGGGAGCATACTTAATTAAAAGAAAGATATAAAGTGAATCACAGAGATCATCTTTTGCTCATATACAGTGTGTGTGGAACACCTTTTTTGCATGGTGCTTCATCTGGAAACATGGACTTTTCCAAATGCCTGTAAAAATCTGATAAAGGAAGAGGCTGGTAGACTTACCAGTTACCAATGTTTTCAATAATATTTTGTCAATGTCTTTTGAAATCACTTCAAATTAGTTTAGTAATACTGCTGTGTTGCTTACAATGGATCAGAAGTGTATATTCAACAACAGTGTCAATGAGTTTTATTTTCTTTTATCAAATGAACTGTTTTTATCATTTTGCTTCGTCATCTTATGTGTGCTAATACTAAGTACAGATTTCAGTAACAACTTTTTTGCACAAATTGAATTAAAGGTGGATTTCACTGCTTCCCTTTAGCCTAAGAACTCAAACGTGTGAATTTGTATGGGTACATGCCATGTCATGTCTGAACAACGTGGTTGTGTGAAATGCAATAAAATAATGAGGACAAAGAGTAAACCATTACAGCATAATCAGGACACTGTGGCTTTAGTTTCCATGATATGATGGAAACAACCATGCAGGAAACACATCCTGTTACCCATGTGGATTGGTAAAAATATGCTTAACAGCATCTGCCTTCGACTTCCTGAAACATCCATGCTGCTGAAACCATTTCTCTCGAAAAGTGAACTTAACAGAAAATGAGGAACTCTTAATTTAGTTTGTTTTTAATCACACTATTTGTACAACACTCATTCTTCATCTTTGAGATCTGGGAATATTATAATGTTATCTCACCTCAAGGGTCCACTTAAAATCTTTTTTCCCAGGGATTTCAACTCCATCTTTTTTGATGAGGAACTGTTATCTCACCTCAAGGGTCCACTTAAAAGCTTTTTTTCCCCAGGGATTTCAACTCCATCTTTTTTGATCATGAACAGAATGGAGTTGGCTCAGCTGCCAACTATCAAGTGACCAACTTACATATGCATATTATAACTGACAGACATACAAGAAGGGAGAAGGTCTATCTCTGTGAAAAAAATTATCTTAACTGATGGATATGAATGGTGCCTTTGATTATTCCCTGGTCAACCTTGGAGAAGGAAAACTATATTAAAATCTCTGACAAACATGAGGGAATTACTGGCTACACATGAAATCTAGTATATGTACAATGTATCCAGCCTGTGGTAAAACACAGCAAACTACACACACTTCAAAAAGAACTGTGAGCTCAGTAGTAACAGACATTCTTCTGTTTCTATTACCTGTTGCACTTGTTTATATTTAAAGAAGTACAAATATTGCACTTCATTTTTAGTTGGTTTGAATTTTTTTTATTATTACAATTTAAGGAAAAGTTACAAAAATGTCTGCGTATGCTGTTGATTAGTTCTTAGAAAAAAGGAAAATTGGAATTGGCAGGTCAGACTTTAAAAACACTGGAACGGACCAATAAAATTGCAATTGGTGCATCTCTAGTTTTAGAAGCACAGGGATTTCAACTCCATCTTTTTTGATGAGGAACTGTTATCTCACCTCAAGGGTCCACTTAAAAGCTTTTTTTCCCCAGGGATTTCAACTCCATCTTTTTTGATCATGAACAGAATGGAGTTGGCTCAGCTGCCAACTATCAAGTGACCAACTTACATATGCATATTATAACTGACAGACATACAAGAAGGGAGAAGGTCTATCTCTGTGAAAAAAATTATCTTAACTGATGGATATGAATGGTGCCTTTGATTATTCCCTGGTCAACCTTGGAGAAGGAAAACTATATTAAAATCTCTGACAAACATGAGGGAATTACTGGCTACACATGAAATCTAGTATATGTACAATGTATCCAGCCTGTGGTAAAACACAGCAAACTACACACACTTCAAAAAGAACTGTGAGCTCAGTAGTAACAGACATTCTTCTGTTTCTATTACCTGTTGCACTTGTTTATATTTAAAGAAGTACAAATATTGCACTTCATTTTTAGTTGGTTTGAATTTTTTTTATTATTACAATTTAAGGAAAAGTTACAAAAATGTCTGCGTATGCTGTTGATTAGTTCTTAGAAAAAAGGTCATTTGGTGACGCTCATCTAATGAGGCTGCTGTTGTAAAAGAAATTCTCTCTCTTCTAAAACTAGTATCTCCTTGTATAACTTATATGATTTAAAATAACTGAACACTATTTTGTTTAAGCCCTGCGATGGATTGGCGACCTGTCCAGGGTGTACCCCGCCTTCGCCGGATTGCCGGCCGGGATTGGCTCCGGCCCCACCTGTGACCCCGCTCAGGGACTAAGCGGTAGAAAATGAATGAATGAATGATGAATAGTTTTAGAAGCATGATGAAATATTTAAACAAGCAAGCAAAAAAAAAAAAAGAAAAAAGAAAAAAGGCAGGCAAGTAACGTGGTGCTGGGGGTTGCTGAGCTGAAGAGTGTTGAGTTGGGGGAACAGAGAACTGGAGCTGGGGAGCGGACAACACAGAGCTGGGAAATGGACAGCTGGAGAGTGCAGAGTCAGGAAACGGAGAACAGGAGCTTCGGGTAGCAGGTGACCGTAAACATGTGAGATGAACCAGCGGGGAATGAATGGGAAGAGGGCGTATTTATGGGGCTGAAGACTAGAGATAACTAGACAGGTGGATGCAATGAATACTGACTGACCTGGCTGGTGGAGGTGATCAGAAATGATTAGAGTGACATGGCAGAACAGTAGAGAGATGGGGAAAACAACACAAAAACAGGAAGCACCGGTCCAACTGTAACAATAAGTGGCACTGACCGACTGTAAATTTTGTTATTAAAAAAAACAAAAAAAAACAGAAAACACTGATAAAACAATACAAATGCAAGATGAACACGTGAACCTCTGGAACAGTTCAGTGGGTTTATTATCAGGCTGTGGAAGGTAACAAATTCATACATCAGGCAAAAAAGCTGAAGTGATGTAACCCAAAGCAAAACGTGACATGAATAATATTATTATAGTATTCTTCTTTCTCCACAAACACACTGTGACAGTCACCTATAATTTCAAACTTTGGCTTTTTTTGAAACCTCTTGGTCCCAGTCAGTGTCAAAAACATCATTACTTAACTCAACAGAACCAAACAGGGATAGTCCTGAAAAGGGACCCTTGGTACCAGCAGCGCTACTTGGTAGAGAACCAAGCTCGAAACACTTTCTCTTCTTCAGATTGACTGTTCTTTCATAGTCATTCACCATTTTTTCACAGTTTCTTTGGTTTGCCTCATGAGCAGGCTCCAACTTTGTTTTGGCTGGTAACTCTGTGCCTTGGTCATATTTCTGTCCCAGTGTGACCTCTGCAGCTGGTGGCGGTAACAAATCCTTTACTTTGTCCATGTCAACTACAGTTTTGATCTTTTTTAAGGGACAGTGTTCAGGGGAACTTGGAGTTTTCTTGATTGTAGCATTAGCTCTTGAGCATTCTGCACCATCTCTTGTAAATGAGCTTTTCCCCACTTTAGCTGGAGGATTTTCTTCCAATTTTTTTGGAGCTGTGGTCATAGGCTCAGTCATGCAGGTGAATGAAAATCTTGCGAGTTTAGCCAGGGTTGAGGAGGCCACAGCAGAATTTGTGTGGCCTGATTTGGATAGTGCTGGATCACCGATGCAAGTGCTTGAGTTTAAAAGTAGGGATTCAGTAAAGTCCTCTACTTCAGTCTCATCAGCAGTGTTGACTCTGGTTCTTTGTTGATGCAGATTTTCTCTATCGTCACTCCCTTTCCTTCTATTTACACTTCCTCCTAGTGACAATTTGTCATTTTCAATGTAAAAAACATCATTATTCAGCTCTTTCGGTGCAAAACCAGTACTGTTTTCAGACCCACTCCCTCCTCCAACCTCACTGACTCTGCTTACCTGTTTCCTGTCGTTTACACCTTCCAAAAGGCTTTGGTTCTGGATTTCTCCTCTTTTTGGGACAGTCAATGGGCTAGTTGAGTCATCATGACTAACTAGCTTCTGTTTACATATTTTGATTTCTGTGTAGGTGTGGTGATCCCCAACCCCTGGGTTATATTCACTTTGTAACTCTGTAACATTTGAGCTGGTATTAAAGCTGGTGACTGAAGGTTTCACCTTTCTTGCTTTGAATTTGAAGCCTGATAACACTGCATGCAAGTCTTCCCTTGTTTTAGGTTGAGCTGCCATCTTTTCCCTTAACACAGAACTAAAGCACTTTGTCTCAGTCTTGCCTCTCCTATCGTCCTCCTCAGCTATACTCTCTTTGCCAGAGGACAGGTTATGGACTAGGCTAATGGAGGGGCAGTTTTTAGTTGATAGCAATGTTCTGCTAGAGTGGGAATCTGATGCTGTATCTAAGACATCAGTCACATCTATACTTGCAGCATCTACAGACACCACCCTCTCTCCATGTCCTGTACGCTGCTGATTTTTCAGCTCCCTGATTCTTCTGTGTCTCAGATTCTTAGACACTTTTTGCAACACACAACCCAACGATTCTGAGTGTTGTTTATCTTTCTGTTTCTCAGACTGTTTTACCTGCTCATGGGTTTTACCACTTTTTTCTTTTTCATTTTTCTCACTTTTTCTGTCTTTGTCCTCTAAAGTAGAGGTAATTTTTCTATAGGGATCTGAAACAGCATCAGAGTTACTTGGAATGTCCTCAGTTTGACGGTTTGATTGTTTGATTACTATAGACATTTGTGATTGACCGAATTTTGGTTTTGTATCTAGGTTTTCTTGAGTTGATGTAATTATGGGTGAGTTCATATCATCTGGTGACACTGATGGTGTGATGGAGTGGAACCAGTCAAAGCCACTCTCCCCCGTGACATTAAACTTGCAGTTACTGGTGATGTCTCGGTGGTGTGTTTTGATGATGAAGCTGGTGTCACTGAGTTGTTGCTGGTATTCATCTGCCAGTGGATCAAACTCTGAGGCTTCTGAGTGGTTCCTCTTTAACCTAAAATACAAACAAACCACTTGGTGTGATGCTAAAAGCCATAGGAACCCTGATCTATTTAGAACTGTGTGCCAAAGATTTCAATGATCATCCAAAAACAGCTTAAAATTCATTAAACATAATCTCCCTGTGCACAAAGCCAAGGACATAAACAAATGGATTTCCATGTTTCTACTGCAAGTATAATGTGAAAATAAAACAAAGATGATACATAAACTACACTGGCCATGTGTGTCACTACAAACAACATCATAGAAACAAAAGAACACTCTGTGCAATTTAGTGAAGAGGGGATGGATTACATTTCCAAGTCAGTGGATATCTTGGAGTACAACAAAAATCATCATTAAGCAATGTAAGGAATATGCAACATGTATAAATGACGTGACCATGCAAGAAGTGGAGTAGTGAGGGATGCCACCAAGACATGCATGATTTCTCTGAAGGAGTTAGAAGCTTCTGCAGCTGAGATTTGAGAGAGTGTGCATACAACAACTGTTGTCCATGTTCTTCACCAGTCAAAGCTTTATGGGAGAGTGGTAAAGAGAAACCATTGTTGAAAAAAAAAAGAAGCTCATATTAAATCATGTCTAGAGTTTATGAGAAGCAGAGCATGTGAACAGAGTGGAGTGCAAGTGAGCGAGCAGGGCGGAGTGGGCGGATTTTGGACAGAGCATAGAGCGTTTTTTTTTTTTTTTAAAGTGGAGAGGGTCGCCCTATATCCTGCTCCAGTACTGCTCACACCACGAACCTGAAGCACGCCTCAGTCTGATCCACACACACACAAAACTCTTGGGGTCCCCTAGTAAGTCACACGGCTCCATAATATGGAAAAAATACATGAATTTCATGTATCGGCCTACAATGTGAAAAGGTTGAATCTGGTGAAATACAGTAAAAATATCAAATATCACTACTTTTCTTCAAAATGAAATGCTGACATTACAGAATGCATGGTTTTATACTGTAATGGCAGTGAGATAAAAGAATTTGGTTTCAATGGAAGCCAATAGGGCATTTTTGGCCACGAACATGTCAAGAGGGTGTATCTGGCATTACATAAAAAATACTAAAGCAATCAAATCAATTTTGTTGCTAATCTTTGACATATCCAAGAGTCTACTCACCACCCAAACCCCATCCATCTACTATTTATTATATGGAAAAAAAAAATTCATTTTTTGTTTTTTTGGTAATAAATAATTCATAATTCAAATCATAAACTGGCATTTAAAAGGTTAAAATCCTGAGAATGATTGAATGTTTGGTAGTTCTGAGCAATTCTGAAGTTTAAGTGATTTATATAAAAAAAAAAAAGCAAAAAAAATATTGAAATATGGAAAATTTTCATTCATTCATGTTTTTGTATGTGCACTTTTTTGGCACGGATGTGAAAATAGGGTAGTACATTTAAGTAGGGCACAAGGGTTAAGCACTGAAATTTGCATAACAGTGGGGGATAATCCAACATTAGCACTGTACGTGAGACTCAACAAATGAAAAAGCAGTGTTATTCACCTGGCCAGTCTATCCAGCTCCTTCTGAAGGTGCAGTGGCAGGTTCAGTCCTTCCAGCAATATCTGACACTGAGTTTGATACTGCTGACTAGGGTCCGCAGGGAATGAGGTGAGTAATGCATTTGTGTTTCCCAGCAAAGCACCACCCTGAAAGAGGATTTGTACGAAAATAGTTACAAACTGCTGCAGAATCACAGGCTATAGTGTTATGGTGGAAATCATGGACCACGAGGTACAATATGCTGAAAAATCTGAAGTCACTAGTGCATCAGTGTCAAAATTATAACAGCTTTGATTCTGGCTCAAAATCTCTACCATCACTGTCTGGGATCAAAATAATCCTAACTGGCAATGAGCCCAGCTGTCGCTACATAGAGTAGAGCTTTCCGCAGCTCTGGACCTCACTGGACTCCTTCAGTCACTGTCTCACACAGCAAAGTGTACTGAGTGACAGTACCTGTTTCCATTGACAATGTATGGGCAGCTGTCACTAACCCAGGGATTGTGCTCAACAGTGCAGTTGCGCACTTTGGCTGCATAGAGGTCACAGCCTTTCCAGCACTCACAGTGGTGAAGAATCCTAAACTTTTTTTCTGCTACTTTACAGAGAAATGCATTAAAAATACTTGGGAGAAGCTTCATTATGCAACTAGACAATGATCCAAAACACACTGCAAACTCAACACAGAACCTCAGCAAGAAAAAGAACATGTATTTATACTGGCCAAGTCATACACTATTTACCTGCATGGAGCACTCCATGACAGAGACAGCCATGACAGCATCCTCTATAGTCACAGTCTCTCTGTACATGAGCCTGGCATGGGCTGTGAGGCAAAAAAGCAAAACAAAACAAAAAAAAACAGTGAGTGATACAGTTCTGCAGATTACACTGTGGCTCAGGAGGTAGAGCGGGTCGTTTCCTAACCGGAGGATCAGCGGTTTGATTCCCGGCTTGTCCAGTCAACATGTCAAAGTGTCCTTGAGCAAGACACTGAACCCCCAGCTGCTCCCGGTGATAACACCGGTATGTGAATGTGTGAGTGTTTGGGAGTGCGAATGGTTGAATGGCCAAATAGTGTGAAAGCGCTGAGTGTGCTGTAAAGCATAGAAAGGTGCTATACAGGTATAAGACCATATGCACATACATATAGCGCGCTATATATTTACACACTAAGCACTAAGTACAAGATCAATAGAGGCTGGTGTCTACCATACCAGGCAGGACCCCATCCCTCATCCCTCTCTTCAATAGATACCTTATTAGGCACACCTCTACAATTGTATGCATTTCAATGCAACACGTCCGTCTTAAAATCTGTGTTTATGAAGCTTAAAATGTTTCAGTTTTTGGTGAAATTGTCATTGAATTCATACATTTATGACAATTTCAGTTTAGGTGGTTAGATATTAAAACGCCTTCCTTACCTTCAGCAAGTCTGCTGAGACTCTCCAGCATGCGGATGGTGGTGCGGGCAGCATTACGGCCGTCCTTCTGTCTCTGCAGTTGGTAATAACGTGTCAGGATGCTGTTGGCCTCTTCAGACACCTGCGGCTGCAATTTTTTAATCACACTGAAATAAGCCTTCAGTTTCTCCATGGACCACAGGCTGGCCGAATCAGCAGGCAACCCTGACATCAAGACAGGGGGACAGAGAACAAACATTTCAACACTGTGGTCATAAAAACTTTCAGAGAAGGGGTGTGTGGTGCTTTAATGATATTGCTATAATAATCATAGCAATACATCATTATTGATGTTATATTGAATTATAATACAGATGTGCAAATCATGGGCTGACCTTAAAATCAATATTAATTATCCTTGTTTCTGCTGGAACACCATTCTGCAATCTCAATTAGTTCACACTAAAAAGTATTCAAGATCTATTTTCAGTGTACATTTTTTTCACACTGCATATTATAAAGACTTATTGATATACAGTGCCTTGCGAAAGTATTCGGCCCCCTTGAACTTTGCGACCTTTTGCCACATTTCAGGCTTCAAACATAAAGATATAAAACTGTAATTTTTTGTGAAGAATCAACAAGTGGGACACAATCATGAAGTGGAACGAAATTTATTGGATATTTCAAACTTTTTTAACAAATAAAAAACTGAAAAATTGGGCGTGCAAAATTATTCAGCCCCACATAAGGGATGACGGCAACATTCATAGATCCTGGAATGCACAATGAGGGGCAATGTTCATTCCTATTACAGAGGCCCACTGAAATTTTTTTGAGGAAAAGCTGTGTTAGACTGCATATTGTTTATAGTAAAGTATTTTTATATACAAATATAAAAATGAAAATGTTTCTGGAGTGGGACTTTAATTAATTATAGAAGTTGTGCAGAAGCTGCCCATAGCTCTACACAGTGATCCATGTGTGTACTGTATGTGTTTCTATGCTGCTCCAAATGAGTCTGTTCTGGTTCAACTTGTCTTATTAAATGAGCTTAAAAATAAAGTGACACCTTAGTTATAAAACACTGAGCAGGCTGTAACACACAAGAGTGTGT